GCTTCGTTTTGATATGCAGCCGGAATAATTTCAATAATCTCATCGCGGGGAAACTTAAGGAACGGAATATCCATAGTGGAACAATGCATAAGATAAGCGTAAAGAACTCGAAGGACCGATTCGTGGGCTATGATGAGCAAGTCATTCTGCTCTCGTTCAAGCTCCAGGATAATAGGTTCAAGGCGGACAGCCAGGTCGTGGTAAGACTATTCATCGTATCAATACTCAGCATCTTCATCTCGCATAGACCGAATACATACCTCTGCTCGTGGATATCGATGATGATATGGATCCAGCTCATGCTTCTCAACTTCATCGGGGTACAGTTGGCGGATCAAACGCTCTGGCATTTTCTCACATGCCCCAGGGTTGATCTGGCTCATCTGTGACCTCTGTCTGACTGTGAAACCTTTATCCTTGATATAATCGGCCGTCTGGACTGTCCTAAGCCTAGTCGAGGTCCATACGGATAGAGGTCTGAGGGGTGCTTGGTCGCCTTTTTCGACCTTCTCTGCATGTTCTTGCTCGCGGTGTTTGAAGAGAGTCTCTGCCATTTTTTCGGCGTAGGCTCTTCCCTCGTCACATAGAGGTCCGTCAGATTTGTAAGAATCCTCCCCTTCAGCCGTGGTTCCCGCTCGAGCGAAGAATGTTGTGCGTGACTTGATGTGAAGATTTGTGAGGTAGAAAACAATCCTGTGGGACAGGTAGTTAAAGCTGACGTTGTTGTAGAAGAACTTGGCGCCGGCGTTTATCATCTTGATATAGTTGAGCTCCTTTTCATTCATTGTTTCAAACATGGGAATCCTCATTTCGATCCGCTTAAGGTAGAGCTCAGCGGCCTTGTCAGGGTCCATACCAGCAAACTAGATCCTCTGAATTAGAAGCACGTCTTAGGATTAGGACTGGTAATCTCACATCTGGTGATGATATCTTGACGTTTCGTGCATTCTCCCGCAGGATTCGTTCATCGTCCACGTATGACTCAATAAAAAGCGTCTAAAATATGTTAACTTGCGCTCTGTTAAGATGCTACATATGAAACCTACCTGAACGTCATGGTTGGCAAATTCTTTGGCCAGTGATCTCCGCCCGCTGGCCGTTGGGTTGACAGCATCATAGATGGCAACTTGTCCGTTTTCATGGTTTAACCAGGCATAAATATCCTCACGGCACTTTTTCAGGATCTTTTGCCGGAGAATTATGGACGACGGAGAAGCGTTAGGGAAAAAGTAGTCCTCGGGAACCGTGCCTTCAGGGCCAATAGTGGCCCGGCGGTAATCTCCAAGATGGAAGATGCGAGTCTTCACACCCAGCCACTGAAGGTAACGGGCCATGGACACACAAATATGGCTGGCACTGGGAGTTAACAGTTTGATCTTACGGAATGGTGTGATCAGTCGTAGATCTTACGTTTTTCCACGGGCAGGCGGGCCAACCATCACAATAGCAATCCGGCCAGAGTGGAAAAGACGGCCAGACATGGTACTGTAAAGCTGGGCCGGGGCCATATCCTGATCCGCGGTCACATCGTGGATACCGTCGATGAAAGTTGAGCTCTTACGACGGTATCGAGGGGCGTTGGCCGCGATTTCAGCAGTTCTATAGATATATCGTTAATTCCAATCCATATTTTTGGAGCTTTGAATCAACTCCTGTTTTGAGAGCTGATCTCCAAGCTACAGTGTGTGGGCCACAGATGTCCTGGGTCGGGTCTGGTTTATTCGGATACCAACACACAAGAAGACCAAATTGGCAGTTTCTTTGAATTGGATTTGGAGCCACTTACAGCAAGGTGTCCATGGTCACGCCTGCGTCGATGCGGAAGCTATAACCCTAAAGAGAATGCTCGACTTGACAGACTGCGAGTGAACACTGATCCCGGCTAATACGCAAATATAACGGGGTCAATGACAGAATGTTTTGTCTCGGCTGGGCGAAAGGATTTAACAAGTAATTCACCCCGAAACTCTTGGGTAGTAAGCAAGCCGCAGGGATTTTTAAGAAGCCAAGAACTCTTGCAGCCGAAGAGCGAGCGCACAGAGACTTTGATCCAAAGTGTCGGGTGGCTGTGGATGGGGGGCAGTCGGATATTGTCGGAGCTTCGTGCTACTAACCTACACTTCCAATGACGAAATAAGACAAAAATAATGTAGGGCGCAAATAGAGGGGGGGGCAGAGAGGGGTGAAATGAAGAATGGGAAGAGAAAAACCTTGGGCTTGGACTTGAAAATGAGATGGTGCAGACTGATAACAGCCCGTGCCGTATAACAGGCTCGGTAAACTGGATGTGTGATGGGCGCCTTGAGGTGGAAGTGTAAGGAAGTTGCGAGGCCAGAACGTTGGAGGGGGTGCCACGTAAGTAGAGGCTACATCTTTGTACCGCAGAGAAACCACGATCTACAGGGTAGACAGTACTTCCACCAGTGCTATTTTAGCGTCTGCTAGCTGAAGACCTCACCAACACTCAGGCGTCATCGTCCACCCGCGGCCTACAGGAAGCCTGGAATGAAGCCCACGGAAAAAACATTCATCCGAATGCTGCGAGTGGAGGACAGCACCTGGCCGCCCGCGAGCGAGATGGTGAGGTGTACAAGGAAACTTAGCTCGAAAAAGAGCGGCCCACCAGCCGAGCACCGACGTCTTGAAAATATTCTCCAGTTTCATCAGCAGTACGAGCGCCCGGTTCTGAGCTCTATCATCACGCCGCCAGTGCAGCAATTTCAGCACTGGTTACGATTGAGTTTATATCTCCTGTCGTCTAGCCGCCCGTAGCCTCAGTGCCAGTCGATTTCGCCCCGACTGCCTCTAGGCGTTACGCCCTCTATTTCTCTCCTCCACACTCTGTCCTTGCTGGCTGCGAAAGCCCAGACGCGATCATGGCCTCCTCACTAGACTCATTAACGACCGCTCTCCTCAACAACCCTGTGGTGTCGCCTCTTGGAGATGCGCTCAATTCTTTCAGCGAACGTAGGGCAAAGCTCGGTCTGCCAAATCCCGGTACTATTGAGACCTTATCAAAGGAGATCCAGCGCGATGTCTTCCTCAACAACTCCATGTTCACCGGTCTCCGCGCCGATCTTACCAAGATCTTCAGCATGAACCCCCTGTTCCAGGTCTCCCACCAGTTTGCAATGGGCGAGCGCATCAACCCCTACACCTTTGCTGCTATGTTCGGGACAAGCAAGGTAAGCGCTTTCGGCTCACCCCAAACATTTCTCCTCCGGGTACTCGAGTGAGAAGTTGCTGACCAATAATTGTCTTGATAGGTATTTTGCCAAGGCAACCTCGACAATGAGGGCTCTTTGTCCGGTCGATTTAACTGGCGCTGGTCCGACAAGTTTGTTTCCAAGTCACAACTGCAACTTGCTCCCGGAGGCCAGGACATGGCTCAGTTCGAACATGAGTATACTGGTGACGATTTCAGTGCCTCTCTCAAGATGTTGAACCCTTCCTACCTCGAGGGTGGTGTTACCGGAATCTTCATTGGAAGCTACCTGCAGTCCGTTACTCCCAAGCTTGCCCTTGGTCTGGAGGCTCTCTGGCAGCGCCCTGCTCTGACCCAAGGTCCCGAGTGCGCCGTCTCATATGCTGCCCGATACAAGTCCAACGACTGGATTGCCACTGCTCAACTCCAAGCTGCTATGGGTACCCTGAGCACATCCTTCTGGCGCAGGCTGTCTGACCGTGTCCAGGCCGGCGTTGAGATGTCCCTCGGCCTTGTTCCTTCTCCTGGCGGTATGATGGGTGGTGGCATTCAGAAGGAGGGTGTGACCACAATTGGCGCCAAGTACGATTTCCGCATGTCTACTTTCCGTGCCCAGGTCGACTCCAAGGGCAAGCTGAGCTGCCTCTTGGAGAAGCGTGTTGCCCCTCCCGTCATGATGACGTTTGCCGCCGATATCGACCACTTCACGGTATGTTAACTGTCCAATTTCCGAAGAGACGATACTGATATTATGAATTAGCAAACTGCCAAGCTTGGTCTCGGCGTCTCCATTGAGGCTGCCCCTGAAGAGTTACAGGACCAGCAGGAGGCCGCAGGTGGCGCTCCCACCCCTCCTAACATCCCCTTCTAAACAACTAGGGTGGATGTGAGAACGATGGCAACCCAGCTCTGTTGTGAGGACAGATGCCCCCGATTCTCCTCGGTGGAAGAAGTAATGTAATGCATCCTTCCACCAAAGCACGAGCACACGAACATCAAGAGGCCCCCGCTTCTCCAAAAATTATTTTTCTTCTCCATCAAAATGTCTTAATTATTTGGCATCTCCCCCATTTTGGGGCACAATGTTCGCATGTCTCGTCTTTGGCCGGTGATTGGCATCCCCTGACGCCAAACGGCGATGGAGTCCGGTCTCTTGGACTGATGAAACGAGAGACTCGGATTGCCTGTGTATATTATAAATGGGACCAGGATAGGTGTTCCTCTTGTACGTGCCTGGTCATGATCTCTGGAGAAGGAGATACCATGAGTGAAGTGCGACTATTTTGGCGCACGAGGCGGCTGGAGGTTGTATGTTCAAAAAGACGTTATCTCTCTTCATGTATTGTGTATATCGGAAATAGAGGAGCAGGTGGCCAGAAACATGGTGATGATATTCTGTTTCAAACTCTAACAACTTTGCCTACGTGGGAATCTCTTTTGGAAACATGAACCCTGTGTCCTCGAACCAGCTAACTTGCTTTGCCAAAAAATCAAATTACCAGTTGGTAGCCAATACTGCTGCTACTCAATGATAATATCAAACCCGCTACGCCATGCTATTGTAAACACTACCATTGGTATCTCATACCGATTCTCTAGGTATTTCCCCCTTTATGCTGTTGGTATAAGTAAATGCCTTTTGATCCCCTGTAATTCATGTTGAGTGGCATATCATATGATTCCGTGTCGCCACTTCAACCCCCTGAAACCTTCCTGAAGGTGGCTGAAAAAGAGCCGGGCGGATGATGCCCGGCAAGAGAAGAATTAAATGTACGATTATGAGAGAAAGCAGAGCTCACATCACTGAACATTCTCGTTCAGGTTGTTCGCCACTCTTTGCTTTATGACCCTTGTCTGACTCTTTCCATCTCGAGTGTCTATGCCCATGCTTGTGGTTATGGGAATGGCGATGCGGTTTCTCGTTGTCAGAAGGTACGTCGGTACCCTGGGCATTATTCTCGGAGCTGATTCGCTCGTTGGAATCCGTTGCCGCAATATCAAGCGCGGTGGGCTCCCCAATTGGCTCCTTGCTGGGTCGCATCATCAATCCAGCCACACGGCTCATTTTACTGACGCGATTCCCCCCCGTTTGACTCCCTGACCGACTTTTCCCTCCCTTTGAAGCGAATCTGGCTGCCGCACGTGACAGCCTAGACGCTGTAGATTCATCGACAGGGTTCAACAAGGGTGAGTTGAGGCGGTCAGGGGTGATTGCAGGCGTGACCGCTGTGGACTCGGTAAGGTTCATGCTGGGGCGGCGAGACTCGTTTTCTGTTGTATCTGAGTAAGAATTTGGTCTCGTGGTATACGTAGTGTCTGTGGCGTCGGTGCTCTCTCGAAATTGAGTGTCTTCGGTGGAGAGGCGTACACTAGGAGGCTCGCTAGGTAAATGATTTGGTACTCCTTCGATGATGGTGGTTTCAGGCAGGAGCTCCGATTGAGATTTTACCGCAGTCTCACCGGAGTAAACAGTTGAAGGTGGCCTCGAGAGCTCAATACTTGCTTTGAAGTCCTCGTAAGATGGTGGCTCGGGTTCAGTGTTCACCGTGGAGGGACTATCCGCCATGGGAACAACCTGGTAGAAGAGAAGATAGGGCATCTCTGTCTTCAATGCTTCTTTGATGTCACCCACATAGTTGACACGATGGGCCAAATCCAGATCGTCAAATCGGACCCAAACGGCCTCTTCGTAATCAGGGGGCGGATCGACGTCGTGCCTCCTATTGTCTGTGAGTAGTTTAGGAGCCACCCGGGCGAAGGAAATGTAATGGCCGCTTTGTACAGATTCTCCACGATGACAAATGACAGATTGGAGCACCAGCTTGTAGTCAGTCTCCAATGCTGGGACCGAGTCGCCGTCCTTGTCAGAGGAACTGTCTGCGAGCATAAAATGTGGCAGGCGGAGACTATCCGGGATGTCAATATAGGTGTTGTGCCTCTTTGGCTCCCCGGATTCCGTCATGGTGTATCGTTTGAGACAAATTCCGACAACTGGCCGTTGGTCAAAGTTCATGGCAACCTCAATATCGTTCTTTGGCTCGCTACTGGTCACAGCATGCCACGCTATACACGTTGTTAGCCCGGTACTATACAGAGACGCTGCTCTTCACTCACGAATAAGCCGGAAAAATTGCCAAGCTGGAATAGTGACTGCTTTGATCACAGTCGAGCCTTTGCTCTTGGCCCGCTGTAAGAACGTGGGATCGTCAGTCGTTGTTGGTGGGCCCGAATTGTTAAGGAGGACGTTTTGAATAACGCTTGTTGACCGCTGTCGGTTTGACAATTGCCCCTGCACCGGGCCGCCTTCTCTGGCTGACTCTCTTACTGACTCAACGCGTTGCAACGTAATCGTTTCCTCGTTTCCTAAGCTCTGTTGGGTCGATGTCTCGGGTAGAGTTGGTGGGGTTATAGAGACTGGGGATGACACCACAACAGTTGACGATGTACCATCATCGGTCGTAACGCGGATTGTATTCCGGTTGATAACCATCCCACCTTCAGTCTTTTCTTCCAACCCTGACTTCTTCGCTTCTTCGCTGTCTCTTAGGACATCCACCCTGGCATTGAAGTACTCTTCCAAACAGTCCTCGAGTCTGATGCCGCGCCCGTCAGTGTCAGGAGGGATGGCTAGATTGAGCAGTCGCTCAAAAACGACTTTGTGATCGTCATCATCCCTCCTTCCATGGTGAAATAAATCCACCTGTAATGAAAGGAGAGGAAGCTGGAGTGTTTCTGTGATGAATGCAAATGCTTCGGAGGTATCCTGCTGTTCAAGCTCTCTGGCGTCTGACCAACCACACTCTGCCAGTGATTCTTGTATGATTTGCATCTAGCAATTGTCAGCAACACTCGGGTAAGTATGAAACCTTGGAAACAAACCATATCTGTCCGAATGAGCTTCCCAGAACGTAGCATGTTCACCCAGATTCGAAGAAGGTTGACAAGTTTATGCCTGCTATCTTCCGGAGGAAAATTGTTTTTTAAAACACACTCGAATGCGTCCATCTTGGCGAACATGGCGAAAAGTAGGGAATCAAGATAGCAGGTAACATTTCCTCGGTTCTCAGCGCCTACCATTTCAACACGAGGATCGTAGGGAACGATTGTTCCATTGTACGCCTTTTGCTCTATTTGAATGAATTCGACCGTTTTGTCTACGTCTCCGTCGGCGAATCTCGTGGCCAGGATGGCCTTTATATGATCGGGAGTTATGTATGTCGCTCCGGCTTCTTCAAGCCTATCTTGTATCTCCTTGATCTGCAATCGTTAGAGGAAGGTTGGTACTCGGGTGCATTTCAGAGTCTGCTAACCTTGTCAGCTGCAGGCTCTTCCTTCGCTTGGCCATTTTTGCTTTGATTGTTGTTTTTCCAGAGTGACCGAAAAGTCTCAGAGGTTGATGTACGAGGCTAATTGGTTGCATTAGTATAGCGCAGAATCTATGCGATGCAGCGAAAACGTACCTTGCCCCCAGGCGGAGCTGATTTGCTTCGTTGATGCGGATTGTTCTTGTCACGAAGACTGAGAAACTTGCGCGGAAATTCCTTCATCTTCACACTCGTCCTCGATCGCTAGGGGACCGCGCTGTGGATTATGAGACGAAAAGCGGTGCGTCGGTCGTAGTTTTGGGAGTATTAAGTGATAATTTGGGCTGGGCAAGCCGTTGTGATTTTGGTCAATCGCTTTTTAGGTCCTTGACATCCTCGAGGCAAGGCGTGAGCGACCAGTTGTTGGCCGGCCGGCCGGTCGATCGAGGGTGCACGATGCAAGAGTCTGGTGCTAAGTAAACTCGTTGGTCGGGAAGCCGTCGCTTAGAGGCGGGTAGGAGGTGTGGAGGGTGGACGGAATGTAGGAGGGGTCGAGTGGTGGTGGATGGATGGCTTGCGACGAGACAAACCGTTAGGAAAAGACAGGCCGAGGAGCGATAATTCGACAAGAAACGGGTTGTTCATAGAAAAGACGAATGGTCGAAACAAGAAAAGACGCGCTGCCTCTCACGGGATCGAGAACCGGGTATCATGAGACTGAAGGAGGAGAACGAGAACGAGAAGTGAGGAGGAGCTGGATGCGCCGCTGAGGCTCGGCAGACGGCCCTATTAGACCATAAAATTGGTGGCGGACCCTGGAAATCGTGTTGCCTCTGCGGGCAGGCTTTAAGAGCCGAATAAGAGTTGCCTGCCCTGTACCTCGATGCAACTCTCTTATTTTGGGGCGGAGGCTCCATTTTGGTCCGCATTTATATTTGGACATGTACCTGACATGTACTGGGTACGTACCTCGCGGGATCTTGAAGCGTCCGGACGGGGCCAGCTAAGGACACTTTTCAATGGCAGCAACTCTAATCATTCAGGCACCAAAACATGACCTAATTGCATGGCCTCTGATGTGCTGCCTTGCGAGACGTGGGCGTTTCCATGGTATAGCGATTGAGCCATGGCGTGGGGCAAAGGGTCCTCGAAGATCGTTGTCCCGCAAAAGGCATGCTTACCTAGAGTGTGACCCTTGGAAGCACGGCACGGGAGTACGTTATGCACAGACAATCCTTTGACTCTAACTCTGGTAGCCTGTCTAAGGCCGACGCCGGGTTGCCGCCCAGAGTTCCCATTATAGCATAGTTCCCCGGGCTGAGAGGGCTGATTTGGAAGCGTGGCTCTGGTGTCTCGGCAGCATGCGTCGTCAGCTCATTGGTCACCAACCGGCAGCCATTGACTCGAAACTTGCCCTCCAGCATCTTGAGTGCGTGGCTCACGAATACACTGGTATGAGCCACTGCCCTTTCCGCACCAAGCCCGCTGTACCTGGCACAGGACAGGAATGCCCGGAACATAAGTTCAACCGCCTCTGCTAGAACTTACTGGAAAAAAGCAGATGTCACAAGACATGTAAGATCCTAAGACACCTATGGGCTGATGTATCTAGCCACAGGCCCTGCCGCCACATGAGCAGTCAATGTGGCGCATGAACTGTGCTACCTCGCTGATTCGTACTCCGTATTCGTCTTTCCATCGTAGCTGGAGAACCGGTGTGAGTACACAGCGTCACCAGAACGATAGAGACTTCAATATTATGCATGGAATATGTACATGGGCCTCCTTTTTGGACTTTGAGTATCTTGGAACCGTGAAGGCGCATGAGATGCCTGCTGTCAAGCGACTCTAGAGTAGGTACTAGGGTAGTAGGTAGAAACTGGTAGGAGTAGCACCAGCACGGCGGTAAATGCACGGACCATCAACGCACGTGATGACATTGCCGCTCGCGAATTGGGCAAGCTTCGAAATTTGATATCCAAGGCCGTCTCGAAGGCCGAATTTCCAAGCCAATCAGACAAAGATATCTTCACCATGGCCGGGCCTCGCGAAGGGACTCGGATGGCGAGTTCTCTTCTCAGAAGACAATTGACTTCACCTCTAGCCCCTTCTTGCGCCAGGAGATTTGCATCAACGAAACCCGACGCCTTGTCTGATCTTGACCAGGCATCCTCATTTTCGACACCTCAGCCCGATAAAGCGCAGTTGGAGGCATGGAGTACGTCCAATTCCGAAGGGGGAAAGGGAAAGCAGCTTCCTGGCAACCGGTAAAGACGATTTGGACCTCCGAGTTACAGTTGCATTGCTGACAAAACAATGTTTTCAGATACCAGTATCATCCCCCCAAATACTACCGAGGCCCTCTTCATCCTGTCCAGATGCCCGCTCCCTCCGATCCCACGGCTCGAGATTTCAAACCCGGACCCTTCAATGTCCCTCGGCTTAGACATACATACGATGGCACAATTGCGCCTGATATCCTTACCTTGACTTACCAGCACAAGGTTCCTGGGGAGGAGGTGGTTGAGTCAAAAAAAGGTGAGCTCAGGGAATGGGATGGCTCCTCGCCGTACCACAAGAACCGTCCTCGGAGAGGACCTCGAGGCGGAGGTTCATCCCGATTGGGCCTCCTGGAGCGGGACATCGACTTCAACAACATCCCGGAGATTACGGCCGTCACAGTCAATTCTTATGCCCCGCTGGCGGCTGAGAACAAGGAGTATCTGCAAGTAGCACGATCTGTTGTTCAGGCTATCACGGGAGAATTTCCCGAGACCACGACAGTCAAGCACCACGTCATGCCGTGGGGTGTGAAGAAGGGTGACAAGACTGGAGCCAAGGTCACCTTGACTGGAAATGCAGCCTACGAATTTGTTGACAAGCTCGTAACCCTGGTGCTGCCCAAAATCAAGGATTGGCCTGGTGTCAAGGCCAGCAGCGGTGACAGCGCTGGTAATATCGCTTTTGGTATGGAGCCAGAGTGGATGTCATACTTCCCAGAGATGGAATACAACTTTTCTGTAAGGCCCCTCAACAGTAATGACACTGTATGAATACTGTATCACTAACACCTGAAAGATGTACCCCAACAAGCTGATCCCAGGCTGCCACATTTTCATCCACACTAACGGCACATCTGATCGCCATGGGCGGCTGTTGATGGAAGCTCTCGGCTTCCCCTTCTATGGAAAGGCCACGCACTAGTAGACATCTGGAACCATGATTCTGGTTGTGTCATTGGGGTCTCTACGTGGGACTATTGTGCATGTAAAACAAACAATATAGATGTATACAAGTTGTATAATAAGACTCTATCCTTGCCTACTTGGAGCCGTAACCTGACTCTTTCTATCTCTTTTTTTCTCGTACCGTCCGATAGATCCCTTAGCCTTTCCATTTGTGCTCCCTGTGTCAGAAGAACGCCCTAACTCCTACAAATGATCATAACTTCTCATTAAATCGCCACACCAAATGCTCGGCCTATGCTGAGGAGGCCTTGGCCTTTGCTCGAAGGTCGCCCATGATATCATCAATGGCTTCCATGTTGGTCGCGTCAGTCTTGTCCGTAGCTCGCCCGCCCTTGTTCAGCTCATCGGCGAACACATCCATGGCTGGCTGGTAGTTCCTGACAGCTGAGCTAAGAGCATAGATGGCTTTCCTTCGGACATCCTCGGGGTGCTCCTCCTTGACCGCCAGCTCAACCAGTGGCGGGATGCCTCCCATGGCTAGGAGCTTCTCCTGGGTCTTGGCGTTGTTCTGCACAGCTGTGCCAATGCACCATGCGGCCATTTTGCGAATTTCGCCCTCTTCGTGCTTGAGTTGCTCGAGCAGCGGTGTCCAGAGGCCCATGTTGGCGATGTTGTTCGCATTGTCGAGCGACTCGATGAGCTGCTCGAAGTTGTCAAATGCGATGAGCTTGTCTTCAACACTGACGTCTGCGGCTGTGATGATCTCCATGGATGCCTTCATCAGGTCAGCCTCGGAAGGGCCGCCCATGAGGGCGGCCATGACATCGGGTGTGAGATCTGTATGAGGCCTGGTTGCTGGTGCTCCGGCTGCGGGGTCACCCTGGGCGTTCTCAGTGTTTTCGATACTCCATTTGAGGAGATCATTTAATCGTTTGTCGCCCATTATTGCAGAATGAAAAAAAGAGAACTTGTGGAATGAAAATGATGAGGTGATTTTGGTGATGAGAGAGATTTAGATCATGAAGGAAAGATGTTTTGATATTCTTTTTTATTCACCTATGAGGCTGTCCAATTTTTTTCTATGTGCTTGGATATGCTCTTTCTGGAAGTTTCAAGAACAATCTACCCCACAATTAACGAGCACTACCTCAGGTCAGCACAGACCGACGGGTCGTGGGAGGATTTCCCTCCCGTGCGGTGCAAGCTGGGCTCTCTGTGTACGTGCGACCCAAATAATGAGATTTGCTAGTGATATGAGCTGGTTGTTAAGATGCTTGTGGATAGATCACAGGCCGAGGCATATGAACGACTGTCGGGCCAGAACCCGCGGGAGCTCCCCAGAATGACCAGCTAGTGGGATGTAATCGGATAACAATCGACGTTCAAAAGAATTGGAACATGAGTGCGAAAAAATTCTGCCCCACCGTCATTGCCCCTCGACGCCGCTTTAACAGCTGGTCTGGCTGGCTGACCCCTCCAAGTAGGGCTTTGTACTCGCCTCTGTCTACTTCGAGCGGCGCGATGGCCGCATCATCTGCAAAAGATGGTGGGTGCAACCGCAGTCGTGGTGGTGAAGTGCGACAAGCACCAATTGATGCGTTCTCGGCCCCAAACAAGGAAATCGGTACAGAGCAACGAGCCTACTTATCTCGCCAAGATCTAATTAGGTTAGATGAATAATGACCAGTCCCCAGTGGCAAGGTATAGTGCATAGGCAGGGGGCGGGGAGTTTGTTGGGGACACATGTCATTTAGAACCCATCTATGGCGGAATTCCACCAGAGTCCCCGGTTGGCTACTCGTGAGGGTGGCCCCGAGAGAGTGGATGTGGATGATGCTGACCGCGACATTGGCGAGGCTGGTGGTTGTGCTGGTAGCCTTGCGTATGCACAACCGTACTCGCGTAGGGGGTGTGCAGGTGGGTAGGTAGGATGAGACGGGCATTGCAAAGGGCAGGATGACTTACACGGCCACCTCGATAGGCATGTGCGCATGAATGTATGCGCGCTGGGAGGCGGATAGGTATGCTCCCCAATCCTCTGTCGAGCTCGTTCAGCCACGCGCAGGCACTTTTGTCCCACAGGGCGAGCAAGGACAGTTCGCTAACGCCTGTGGACTGGAGGAGCTAATTTGACCGGCTTCAAGGGTCCTGGATCTCGTCGAGCTGGGCACGGTACACGGCCGAGACGCGAACGAGAGGGCGGTCGGCGGTGCTACCTACTCGTTTGGGGGGAGCTTCGCTCTCCCGTTGGGAAGAAGCTTTCAGTACGCCAAATTAATCGTCCTATATCGCCAGATATTATAAGTAGATAGGCAGGTACTGTCCATATGCAGACTCCTCCCCCCGACATGCGCCCCTATTTTTAGCATATCCATACCAAAATATTACTTTAATTCATCTCTTCATCTCTTCACCGAAGTTACCACGTCCAGTTGGTGCTGGGAGTTGCCCACAGCAGCCCATGGCGCTCTTGCCCCATCCGACAAGGCATCCATCCATCTTCACATTGGTTCCTGCCTGCTTAAATTTCCTGCCTGGTACTTGGGTCGGCTCCGAGCACTTCTTGAAAGGGGGCACGCCAGCAGCAATGCGCAGCGCGGGCATTGGCTCAAGGTACTTTGGTATATTTAGGTAGCGTCACGTAGCCGGGTGAGTGAAGGCATCTACATTGTATGCGCCTGGCTGAATATTCGATCAGCTGGCAGCTCCGCGTGCAGGAAGCTGCCATCGAGGCAGATGCTATAAATCTGGGCCCAGACAAATCGACCGAGCAGAGTGGAACCTCGCCAGCAGGTAGCAGCAGATTACCCACAGGCAGCTACTTACTGGCACCCCGTAGAGCCCTGCCATGGGAGAAGCACCTTATCAGAATTAGGTACCGACTTGGCATCGCGAAGGCAGCACACGACGGCCTCTGGCTCTCTCCGCGCAGTCGTGGAAGTGGCGGAACTGCGCTGGCGCGAGTAAGCTGGATTGCGTGCGTGCTGACGTGCACCACGCTCAAGAACGTAACGAGCAAGAGGGCTTCCAGCAGGTACCAGGCCAGGCAGTCATATTCGGCCCCTTCCTGCCCTCGATAGCCCGCCGTATTTAATTGGGCGGAGGGAAAGGAGGCTATGGTGCCGATGGTGCTGAATCGGCTCCAGCATATATCTCCCAGCCACCACCACAAGCCAATCAGCTAAAAGCAGCAAGCAGTTGCCCCCGGTTTTTCTGCCACGATTTTTACTCAGACAACCACGCTGCTGTACCAGCCCAGTTACGTAGTAGGCGGTGTCTTCCTTGGGTACTTGGCCTGCTGGGTCCTTTTGGGCTGCTGTGGTCTGTGGTCTCTGGTCTTAGTGGTCCACCTCAGCACTTCGCCCGCAAGCTGGCCGCCCACAACTTTCTCGTGACGACGGCTCATCAGCGACACTTCCCTCCTTTCCCCCCCTCCACATCCACTTCGTTGCTCTAGCCAACCTTCCCCCATTCTCTCGACCTTGAGTTTACACTCAGTTCGACCATCCTCATCCGCTGCTAGCTCTTGAGATCGTTGTATCCCTCGAGCTTTCTTTTTTCTCTTTTACATCTCGTCGTTTTCTTCCCTCCCCCCGTCTCTTTTACCACAACTCCGTTTTCCACCTAATCAGCAGCCATGGAGGGTACGTCGTCGCCGCCAGTTTCCCCTATCGCGCCTGAGGCATTAGGACCTCTGAGCATCGCGCGATAGAACCTTGAGATCCTCGCTGACCGTTCTCCCGTTTGCAGAAGAAGTTGCCGCCCTCGTCATCGACAATGGGTAAGCATGCCACCCGTCTCACCGACATCCATCACTGCGCTGGCGCTGGGAGGTCTCGACGGGGATCAACCCAATGGCGCGTCGACCAACCTACCAGACCACCGCCCTCCCTACACTGTGAGCATCGTGAGATAGAACAAGAGGTCTGACTTGATGGTAGTTCGGGTATGTGCAAGGCCGGTTTCGCCGGTGATGATGCTCCTCGAGCTGTTTTCCGTGAGTACCCACTTTGATGCCCCTTGCGCTGCCAGCACAATCGCCATGCTGGCCAGAGATTGTGTTGATGATTGTGACTGACCTCTCTTGCCAGCCTCCATTGTCGGTCGTCCCCGTCACCATGGGTAAGTTGGAAATGCCGATTGACCAGAGCAACCCCTTATCGGGGGAGCTCTCATAGCTGAGACCATTGAGCCTAACCTGTTTGGCAGTATCATGATTGGTATGGGCCAGAAGGACTCCTACGTCGGTGACGAGGCTCAGTCTAAGCGTGGTATCCTGACTCTCCGCTACCCCATTGAGCACGGTGTTGTCACCAACTGGGACGATATGGAGAAGATCTGGCATCACACTTTCTACAACGAGCTGCGTGTTGCTCCTGAGGAGCACCCCGTCCTGCTCACTGAGGCCCCCATCAACCCCAAGTCCAACCGTGAGAAGATGACCCAGATCGTCTTCGAGACCTTCAACGCCCCCGCCTTCTACGTCTCTATCCAGGCCGTTCTGTCTCTGTACGCTTCCGGTCGTACCACTGGTATCGTTCTGGATTCCGGTGATGGTGTCACTCACGTTGTCCCTATTTACGAAGGTTTCGCCCTTCCCCACGCTATTGCCCGTGTCGATATGGCTGGTCGTGATCTTACCGACTACCTCATGAAGATCCTGGCTGAGCGCGGTTACACCTTCTCCACCACTGCCGAGCGTGAAATCGTCCGTGACATCAAGGAGAAGCTCTGCTACGTCGCCCTCGACTTCGAGCAGGAGATCCAGACTGCTGCCCAGAGCTCAAGCTTGGAGAAGTCCTACGAGCTTCCCGACGGTCAGGTCATCACCATCGGCAACGAGCGATTCCGTGCTCCTGAGGCTCTCTTCCAGCCTTCTGTCCTGGGTCTTGAGAGCGGTGGTATCCACGTCACCACCTTCAACTCCATCATGAAGTGCGATGTCGATGTCCGAAAGGATCTCTACCTGAACATTGTCATGGTGAGTCTCGCGCAGCTATTCCTTCTTTATTTTTGTGGTGGTCCGTAATAAGCTAACCAATTGTCAACAGTCTGGTGGTACCACCATGTACCCCGGTCTCTCCGACCGTATGCAGAAGGAGATCACCTCTCTTGCTCCTTCTTCCATGAAGGTCAAGATTGTTGCTCCTCCCGAGCGAAAGTACTCCGTCTGGATCGGTGGTTCTATTCTGGCTTCCCTGTCTACCTTCCAGCAAATGTGGATCTCCAAGCAGGAGTACGACGAGAGCGGCCCCAGCATCGTCCACCGCAAGTGCTTCTAAGCGATACAGCACCGCCCAAAACGAACCAATCCACCCTCCGCACAGGGATGCCAAGATCACAAAGGTGGCTGCTGCCTTTGCAAGGAATGGTGGGCTGCGCGCGTGTCACAAACGAGTCTCATATTTACGAAAAGTTTTTGAAATGGTCACGGGAGTGGGCGTTGCCTTTTCTCAGAAAAGATATGATGGCCACCATGTTGTAGTCGGATGCGTTATGCGGGCCCCTAGGAGGTTAGAAGCTGGGTTGATTATACAATTACTTTGCATTCCGTGCTAGACCCGTCGAATGGAAGATGAACGTGATGAAGCAAGTTTTAAACAAAATTGTCTTTTTAGAAGAGTGCAGCAGTCAAATAATTGTGTGTTTTGATATATATGTAAACAGTCTACTTCTCAGATGTGACCTAGATCTAAAGGGAAGCCTATATCATCGTGGCCATCGTGGTGCGGTAGTGTCTAGGTCATGGTGCCTTTGATCTGGGATTGATGGCATCACCCGCATCGACCTCGAGGTGGCCTGGCTCTTTCTCCTCGCTTCCATCAAGTTCGCCTGGTGCATCGGTAGAGGCCGTGCTAGTAGACTCTTCCTCAAGCTTTTTATATTTACGTCGTTTCTTCTTGTCCGCACTCGCCGCTTTCTTCTGCTTAATCTGGCCAACTCGAGCAGAGCGACTCTGATCGCCATGAAGTAAATCGTCGACCTTTTGGGCCAGAATCTCGCGCGCTTGTTTTCGATTCTGATCGCGGGATCTCGTAGCTTGTGACTTTACGACTATACCGGTCGGGATGTGTTTGAGTTGGACGGCGGAATTGGTTTTATTCTACAAACGTGCAATTATAGATTAGCTGGCGCCCTTGCTTCGACGGATCGTGTGAGGCAGAACGTACAATCTTTTGCCCACCCGGGCCGCTGCCTTTCAGGTAAGACTCCTCAATCTCCGATTCAGGAGGTGGCTTTGGCCGCGGGGGCAGGCTCTTTGCGCGAGCCACCAAAGCCACATGGAAAGGCCTCGCGAGGGCGGTCTCGGTGGAGGGCAGCCGAGCTAGATGGCATTGCGTGCGCCGCGACAGTAGCGACAGAGCCATGGTGCCATACTATGTCGGGGCTTACTTGCTCTAGCACAGTTTCATCGCAACTGATGTTACGCTGCCAACTCTGGGGACGATGAGGGCCGAGGTGCGTTTTCCGGGAGCGTGGGTGGACGGATAGATCGTCGGACAGTGCTAAAACACGGTCGGCAGGGGGTTATTTTAGCGCGTCAGACCTGTGACACAACTCAATTGATATTACTACCCGCCCGTTTTCCCTACATACATCCCCATCCTTAACAAACGGCAATTAAAACGTCTCTGTAATATTTTCATCCCCTTTACTCACCCTTCAATCGCGCACCAAGCCCACCCACCTGGGATTCACTTCTCGACACTTGCTTCTACGCATCAACAAAGACATCCCGCGGCTTCCGGTACTATCCTTCATCGAAGAAACTACAACGGCTCCGAAGTGACCGCTCAGACGAATACCAACAATGGGTCGATCAGGCAGCATCCAGAAATGGCTCCAGCTCAAGCAGTACCACCTTGAGCTGACCTTTGCCGTATACATGTTCACCCCCTGGGAGAAGTTCGCCTTCTGTGAGTTTCCCCCGAACCACCCCTCCAGGAGTCGACCTCCTTTTTTTGGAGATCCCCCCTCCTAACCTTCTTCTCCAGACTCCATCTTCTTCCTCCTTTTCAGCCTGACCTTCATCGCCGCGATCCTCTACCTCCCCCACCACATCTCCTTCCTCGTCGGGCGCGCGTGGTACTACATCAACGGCGAGCACATCGACGTCGCCGAGGCGGCCATGGAGGTGGTCAAGGAGATGTCCGCGAGCGTGCTGCAGGAGACGACCACGACGAGCGTGGAGAAGCTGGCCCAGACTGTTGCTCGTGAGCTGTAAAGACCTTCGTCTGGGAGGAACACGTCCCATGCCGTGTGAAAGCTTGGGAATTTAGAGGCGGTGGACAGGGCATTGATTTGCATACTTAATTTTTTGGGAAAGGAGATGGATGTTGTAGATTTTGGCATTACCGGGCGTTTTTATTCTCTTCTCTTCTCTTCTTCTACTTCTTCATCATAGGCTATTTTAAACATTCATGGGCCATAGCGTCGGCTGTCTCAGTTAGGGATTAATGAAACAACGTCTTCAATTCACACAAGGGCAATGCAAAATATTCAAGGAAGCGACTTTTTATTTACTTTTGCCCCCTGGAACTGCTCGTAGAGTGATTACAGGGAGAGTTCATCTGCTCTATGAGCCCACAGAGCGCAGGAACTCCTTGTCGACCGCGTACAGCCTCAGCGAGCTATCGTCTCCAGCAACCGCCAGTTTATATGTTTCTCCATTGTCCTCTTTGGTGGCAGGCTGCCAAGCGAGTTGAAGGACGGCTTTCGGTAGATCGAAACTATGGGAGACCGTTCTGTTAGATGTTTCTTTCTAGGTTAAACAGGAGAAAACGCGGTTAAGGGACTTACTCTGTGGAGTGAGGAATCTGGGTTACCTCAGAGTCCTCAGTCAGGACATACAAGTCTAGACGACCGGCTTCTGTGCCTACAGCCAGGACGTATTTTCCATCCACCGGGTGCGGCATGAAGTCTATGGAGGTTGCCGGAGAGTCGCTCGGGATCGATCTTGTTTGACAGAACTGCATCTGCCCGCTCTCATTCTCGGCGCCAGCCCAGATCCGGACTTGTTTGTCTCGGCCAGCGGTGGCGAAAATTGGTTTCCCTGAAGGCATCCACGCAGCGTCGAGAATCATCCTCGTGTGGCCTTTCGGGTTGGATTGGACGGGTTGATATTGGAGAATATCCTGGGAATCCCGCGCGAAAACAGCCCATTGTCGATCTCGGCCGACGCTGAGGAGATACTTGTCATCAGGTGAAAATCGAAGTCGAGTTGCTGTCAAAGAGTGTGCCGTGAGCGGCGGTCTTATTTCTGTCCAGCGCTCTGTCTCAAAGAGACGGATCACGGCATGGTTTGTCGAGCTTGCCTTGCATGCGCTTGCAATGAGTTTACCATCGTGGCTCGTAGTGAGGCATGATATTTCATAACCATGACCGTAGAGTTTCTCAGTCTCTGGCCAGAGTGTATGGCGAGAGAGAGTCTCTTCGTATGGCGGGTGATCGATTTCGAGATATGACTTCTTCACTATAGACGCTGGGTCCATAGCTTCGCGATCACGGTCATCGACTGGCTCGATTTCTTGGTCGTCGTCCACCGCGTCAATGGCCTTATTTGACAGGCCCAAAACGGGCATATTGGCTGCATCTGGCATATTCTCTAATCCCTCCTGGCCAAGACCGCCAAGCCGGTTCAGCATCGAAGCCACGGCCTTGGGCTCGCTAAAGACTCTCATCAATTTTTCGTCGGCCCCTGAGACAAAATGAGATGTTCCCAATGAATCGATACAGTTGAGATCATATCCGTGAATTTGAGGTCGCGACATCTCATGCCATGTGTTGGCTCCCCCGGCTTTCCATTGAGTGTGCAACCTTGTTGTCTGATCAAGACTGGCTGAGAGTAAGTATTCGCCGCTCTTGGACCAAGAAACACCGGAAACTGCCTTCGTGTGCCCGGAGATTGAGATGGAGGGTCTCCAGGCATCTTCAGATGGTATATATTGCCACCTCCTCCAGCTACCAGTCCTACCGAGACAAGCAACGGAGAGCCCATCCGGAGACCAGATTCCTGTCCAGAACCCGCCAGTGCTCCCCGTCGCTGTCGTCGCACCCTTCTCCCTGCTAATTTCACCGAGCCTCACGACACTTATCCATATTCCAGAGCTTGGGTCCGGCTCCCAGATGGCCAAGGAGTTATCTGCTGAAGTGGTAAGAAGCTGCAGCCTTCCATTGACATGGTTCCACTTTGCACTATATATCCAGTCTTCGTGGCCGAGGAGAAGAGCTTCAAACGTAACAGAAAATTGTTTCCCCCCAGCCTTGAGTTTATAAGCCTTATTAGATGGCGATTTTCCGGGAAGGTAGGCACCATTCAGTGGGTCGGAACCCTTGGCTGCCAGGGCCGGAAGTTCTTCTCCTTCATGAACTCTCCAGATCCGAATATACTTGTCCTGGCTCGCTGAGGCAAGGAGCAAATCACTGCCTGCATCATTCGTCTCTCTTGTGAAAGAGAGCCACCGAATCCAGCTATCATGGCCGGTAAGTGTTGCTTCAAGTTCAAATGCAGGGTCCCCGCCACTCAAACCAGCAGTATGGATTTGGATAGTATCACGCGTTCCAGCGGCGGCCAGCACCAACACGTCCCCATCTCGACCCAGGGTAGTCAGTGCGAGTGACAGAGGGAAGAACTTGGGCTTTGTTTGGATAGACTGAACCAGCCGAAGGCTGTCATCCTGTACGACCCAGACCTTGATGGTAGCGTCAGCGCTGCCTGTTGCGATGACCCATTTACTTTCGAGGCCTGCAACCCTGTGTGCTGCTATGCAATTTATAGGACCAGCATGCTCGGAAGAAGTCTGGATGATCTTGAAGTCTTCAGAACCGGCTGCTGCCTTCCATAAAATGAGCGACTTGTCATCTGAGCCTGAGACAAGATATGTTGTCTCATCATCATCCCGCTCAGGTAAAAAAGAAACCGCTTTGACAAGCTCCTTATGTCCACTTAGCAGTTTCGTGACACCTCTAGGCGTCTGGGCCTATAGTTTTCTCTGTTAGTCTGGGGTTTACATTGATACCCTTCATACTAAAGGTGCAGTAAGACTCACTTGAGGCCGCCATAGGGCTATGTTGATATCAGCACCGAAGGCTACGATTCCCCTCTTCCCCCAGTCTGAGGCAGCCGTCTGCCTGTTAGCACCGGTTGCCAAATACTCGACCGATATCCCTTTCGTCCCCATGTCCTCGGCTGGGTCTCAGGGCGATAGTGGCGGTTCAGAATGTGATGCTGAAAATTGAAGATCCTTGGGCTCTGATTGGCTGTCTCCATTGTGCAGTTGGGGTTTGGTTTGCGAGCACCCTGCTTATGTAATCAGATCTGGTTGGTGCTCTTATGCACGTCACTTTGAGAACGAGGAAACTACAACTGGCCAAAGAGGAAAGAACCAGGTTGCCAGATGGCGGCTATTCTAACCGCTTTGAGCCGATACTTTCAACTACCTTAACCACCATCCAATTAAGTGGTACTCTTTATACATCAATGCTTGAGACAGACTGTTGCTCTCGCTGCGACTACACAATTTCTCTTTCTGTGGGCAAATCATCCCACTCGTACTCGTTCTCACTTGACCGCGATCATACGCCTCTCCCCGGCCTCTTTGAAACGGCCAGTAAACACAGCTGGTTGAGTTTTCTCAAGCTTCCAGGCTGCTTCTGTTACAATGGGCCCCCCAGGCAATGCCGCCGACCCCCAACCTGTGATCCCGCTCAAGATCGAGTTCTCGTAAGTTGGGCCCGCTCATTCGTATCGCACGCCTCTTCATGCTTGCGTCGGGGATCCGGCGAGATGCTTTCATTTAGCTCGCCGTAACTCACCGAAAGTCCAGTCCAGAACCATGAAAATTTTCGCTTCATTTTCGCTAAAAACCAAGATGAGCGAAAATTGACGTGTCAGACAGCATGCTGATGGAATCGTGCATAGAGGCGGCCTAGAAATTCTTTTCGCAGATGAGCGACATCATTCGCTGTCACTCCCCGCCCTAGACAAGGATGGCGGCCCGTCCAACATCGGGTTCCTCATCAACTACCTCTGCGAAAACCTGATGAAGGACGAGAGAAAAGAGCTCTTTGTTCTCGACGACCACCTGTGAGTACCTCCCACCCTCTCCTCTATCCACACTCTCCCTCCATTCCAATGCCCAGTCATAATCCGGTCGCCAATGTCGGCGCCAGTTTCTCCTCCCACGCAACCTTGGCATTTGGCGCTTCTCGCATCTGATTCGCAAACCGTGGCGCTGACACTTTGGATCGGTCGACCCCAGCCGACCGGGAATCCTTGTCTTGATTAACGACGCCGACTGGGAGCTGGAGGGCGAAGAGTCATATGAGTTGCAGCCTGGGGACAACATTCTCTTCGTGTCAACCCTACATGGGGGGTAAGCTATCATACCCCCACCAACAATCGGCGTCGACTGGACCCCTGGTGAGAGGAGCGGTGCTCTGGAGATGGAGTCTATCTCTGCATAACATATAACAAGCGCCGGTCAGGAAGGCAACTCTGTTGTATGGTCAAGATGCAGTTGGAGTTTCAGCCGCGCAAGCATAACACGGCATTTGAGGCGTATCATCCAGCCAACCATCTCACTCGTTTCATCGGTTCTCGCTGCCTCGAGCATTAGTCGTGATCCACATATGGACCACGAGTCTCTACCTATCGGAGGCCCCAGCCCAAGCCTCTTAGCTGTCAAAGGGAAGTTTTCACAAACACGTGGAGTTTAATATCTCAATGGATAGCCCGGGAAGAAGGCCGTTAGCATAGCCGCGCACCTTGTGCCCCTTACTTAGAATGACGTTTTAGAGGGTGGGACGGACTGCAATATACGATCGCGATATGAGACACAATCTGATATGGCAAACTAACATGCGAATCTTCCTACACGTTACTTTTGCTCCGGCCAAGCGCGTCAAGCTGCATCTCATCAACGATTCTCGATCGATCTGGAAAGGTTTTCGATGCGAGATGATGGGTGACTGTCGTGGCGGTCAAGGAAATGAATATGTCCCCTTGTACTCGCTCCTAAAAAGAAAATATCAGGTCAAATTTCAGATACACCAAGCTTGCATGTCCAACGCCAGCGTCTGTAGCCAACCGGCTAGCCAATTCTGCTGGAATTACACGCATGCATGAAGAATACGTACATACTCGTACGACTTGTGAATGAACAACTCAAGGCTGTGCCCCAGTGCTGGCTGCGAATAACGCCTCGATGCTATATGATGTGATGCTTCAGAGTCCAGCTGTCAACCGTCCAGGCAAATACGGAGCATCGAAATCTCCTCGGAGACCTTATTAGGTGTTTGCTAATCATATTAATAGAATCCATCTTGTCCCCTTGACCTACCCAACGGCCCCCAAACAGCCTACATACATACCTCGTCCACCCCCCTCCCACCCCCCTTGGCTGTAACGTTAACAGGCCAGATCCCGGGAGGTTCCGTGACATCTTTCATGCCCAACCCACCTCTCAACGGCCGTGTCGATACAGCCTCCACCCACCCGCCAATACCGAGAAGCCCACCGTTGATCATGGGAATAAACCATACTGCGGTGCGCGACCATCTCCGGCGTCTTGGGTTTCCCAGTTTAGAAATACATGCGAGCCACACCCTCCCCATATATTAGCCCATGCGCGCCTCCGATATTGCCCATCGTGGGGTTTGCCATAGGCCAGCAAAAAAGAACCGGGGGCCTGACTTGATGGCGGGGTGTGGGCAAGCAGCGACTGGGCTTCTCACTTTCTTTTCTTGAACGACAACCTCGATCGAGTGTCATCATCGTCGCCCCCCCCCTTTCTCAACGGCTATCTTTCTTTTCTATGAGGAGATACGATTTCCAACCAGGGACCTAGCGCGGCGTTACTGCCCATCACCGTTGCGCCCAGTCACCACCACCCCCCCTCCCCCATCCGTAATCTTGCCTCCCCCCTCCCCAATCTGGCATGTAGACCTGGCCCGTCGTCTCTTGTCGGCATCCCAGTTTCGCAGAGGTGGGCTGGGGGACCGCGTCCGTTCCAGGAAGCTCGAAGCCCCGGGCTGAGAAGGGTGGGTGTTTCAAGCCGGCACGGCGCCCAACCTTCATCACAAATCATATTTCAATTTCCATTGGTAATAGAGACGACCACGGCTATCAATGCCCAAGAGGCACCGGTGGATGGATGTACACCACTGCCACTCTCAGCTACGACGTAATCTAACTCTGGCTTTTTTTTGTTCACTGCCCAATGCATCACGTAAAGGGGGCGGGAGAGAGTATTGCTCTTGATAATCATACTTGAATTCATTCTGAAGGGTCTTCAGGCTGTGCTGCTACAACTTCAACCAAAATGAAAAAGAGGTAGAGACAGAAAAAAAAACAATTCGAGAATTAAGACCATGTAAAAAAATAGCACAACCCCTTTCCATAAGAACCTCGTCTCTAATAAGAATTGACTCCTTTCGCTCAATGCTGCCGACCAATGCAGAGTCTAGTAACCCTTTTATGTATGCAGCCTGTACCAATATCCGAAGGGGGGTAAAAAAATCAAAAACACCAAAACCAAAACCAGAAAAGTATCCAACATACTTGTGGAAACATCCGCCTAAATCGCTAACGCAGACAGCCAGCCATACCCGTTCTTTTTTCGAAATGTAGACTCGAGCACATATCTCGAGTAGAAGAGGAGAAATAAGACAACAGAAATATGCCCCCCACGCCAAAGGGTCCAGCCCTCGTCATCATGCAGGTAGGTACCAGGACCTAGAGCTGGTAGGGAAAGACGAGGTGCTGCTTTTGAAGGATGATGCTCCTCTGAGGGCGAGGGGGTTGAAGTAAAAGGGAATAAGAAAGAACAGAGCAGAACAGACAATAACCAGCCCAAATAAGAGACAAATATTCCACCTTGTAAGCGAGTAAAAAATAGTTCAGACAGCCTCCCACGTTCCACAACAATAGTGTGTGAGAACTCCACAGGGTCCAATGGACCTTCCTTTTACTGATCCCACCGTTGGGTCAGTTGATCGAGATCTTGACCACCCAAAGTGTGGCCACAGGAATCGCTCGAAGAAGACAAAAACGAAAAAAAAATCAAACCTGAACAAAACGACGACGCTGAACCTCCTCGCTGGTTAACCTGAGAGAATTTGACGACAAGACCTCCCTCTCCTCCTATCATTAATCGTTGCGGCAGGCGGATCGTCTGGGGCCGTTCCGCCTTACCAAATACCTGGTTTTTGGATTATCCTTTCCTTTTCCTTTTTCCTTTCCGTGAATCGTTTCGTATAGCTCAAATGTGAAGGCCTAATTGCCCCAGCTGACAGACATGTACACGACACATCTAGTAGAGACCGTGGATCTGGCGGGACTGGGCATCATCGTACATCATGTGGGGAGTGTGGTTCTCCATTGGGAAAACATGAGGGGTAAAGCCTGTGGGAAGGCGGTGTCGGGTGACGGTGTCATTCATTGGCATGGGACCACTGGCGGTTGGGTAGAGTGGCCCAGATGCGGGAGACTGAGGCTGAGACACGGGAGAGGTCGGCTTGTACGAGGGTGTCTGGGTCTTCCGGCCTCGGGTGCCAGATCGTGGCTTGCTGTCGCGGCCACCAGCGATCCTTCTGGCCTTTCCGCGGCCTTTGATGCCCTTGTTGCTGTTCTTGTAATGGGCCTTGAAGTATGAGTAGAGAGTGCGGTACTCCTCAGGGATGTGGTTCTCAATGTTAAACTTTACAAACTTCTGTGTAAGGTCCTGAAGGGCATCCTTGTGGAAGTTGTTCTGATGGGTCTGCGTCGTGTTGGTTAGGCTAGGATTTACCAAGGTGGCTTGGAGGTATCACATACCTTCATGTTGCCAAGCTGGGAGAACTTCTTGTCACAGTTGTCCAGAATACAAACAAATGGCTTCAGGCCCTCGTGCGTCTCCTCGTGAGACTTAACATTACCCCGCTGGGCGAATGTTTTATCACATTTGCTGCACTTGAATGGCTTGTCCCCGGTGTGGCGGCGCTTATGGGTCTAAGAGACTGTCAGTATGGACTGTCCACGGCCAAATGAGATACGATTAGCAGTACCTTCAGGTTGCCCAGCTGGGAGAAGGTGAGACCACATCCAGAATAGTCACAGACCTATTAGAGTTAGCTCGATGTGTACCGATCACGAATGAATTTCTATGCTGCCTACATATGGTCGCAATCCACTGTGTGTTCGACGGTGGATTTCCAGGTGTGTCTTCTGACTAAAGCTCTTGTTGCAGTTGGGGCCGGTGCAGGTGTACTTCTTGGGTCGCGCGTTATGGACTCTGGGAGGGCTGGAGCAAGGTGGTGTAGCTTGCTTGTCACACTCCTCGTACTTGGGGGATGGAGCAGGTGTAGGGACTTGAGCGGGAGATTGCGCTTCGCTTTCTGGCTCATCGTGCTGGAGAGTCTTCATGAGCTGATCGATTTCGGTGTGGAAGTCGACTCTGTTGTCCGGGTTGATTGTTTCGTTGGCGGTGATGATCTTGGCGTTGAGAGACTGTTCTGGAATTGCTGGCTCCCTCTTGACAGAATAGTTACTGTCTTGCGAGGGCGAAGGGGACATGGCGGCGCTGTGGAAAGCAGGCTTCACATCCTCACGATGGTAAAGCCGAGAGTTGCTATCGTCGGACATGATGGACCTACCCTCCGGATGGCTGTCATACCGGTGGGAGTAGGAGACGGGTGCCGTGCCAATGTGGAGAGGGCTAGTAAAGGGCGCATAGGTAGTCGTAGTCGGCGAGTAGTGAGCTGCTGTCATGGCGGGAACGTGAGCGGAAGTGTAAGGCGTCATGTACTGCTGAACCATGACCTGGCGGTTGACGTATTCAGGAGAAGGTTGGCGCGAGGAGTAAACCATCATGTTTTGGTTATCAGGAATCATCGCATACTCATGGCCAACTTGTTGGGACCAACGTCCCCAGTTTGGGTGCCCCGCTGGTTGAGAGGAGAGGGCCATTGTTTGCGATACTGAGTTTTATGAGTGAAGATATAGTCGAGTTGCTCACAAAGTAGTAATGGTGTTCCGGAGAGTGCTTGTAGATGGAGCTCCAAAGGCGTGGGATGAATTGGTTGACAGGCTTTCTTCTTTCCGATTTGAAGAGGCCAAGAGATGAGTATCTTGCAAAGTGGGATGTATGTCAAGTAGACTACCATGTAGTTGACTTGTCTTCGAGATTGAGAAACAGTACTGAGGAAAAGAACAAAAGACAAAGGACCACCCGTTAGCTGATTAAAGAAAGGTTACGTCTGGGAGAAGTAGACGGTTGAGATGACACGGGAAATGGGAAAGTAGAGGAGCGAGGCGATGTTTTATGTGTTTTCAAGAAAGATCATTACACTGGGCTACGATCTGGTAAGGACTCTCTATGCAAGATGTGCAGCAGGGATGGTGCCAATCGTCTGGGACAGGATTCTGCGCAGGGGGAGGGCGTGTAGGGGGTGAGGAGATCACTAGGATAGGCCCAAACGGTACGGTGTGGTCCCAGAGATTCCTCAACCTAGACGCGACGACTACACACCCGGGTTGCGAATACTTTGCGGCAGGTACTATTCATTGCAGATGAGGGCGGCCGCTGGTGGTTGGTAGGGGGGGGGAGACTCAAGGTGCTGTAGAGTAACTTACCAAGATACCCGGGCCGGTCAAGAGACGATGTACCAGACTGAGATAGCATACACCCCCTCCCCTGCGTACCCCACTCAAGAGATTCTGACCCAAGCTCGTAGGTCATATTTAATAACTGCGAGGTAAAAAAGCATAGTGTGGATGGAGCTCATAGCAAGGCCTTGTTTGCCGGGACTATTCTTGGGCAGGGGTTCCAAGCCCAAATGGTGGTGGGGAAAATGCCACATCCGACAGACTGGAGTAAGGTATCGCATTCAGCCCATCTACAAAATTTAGATCGGTTACAGTACGTACCACTGGTAGGTAGCATCAGACTGCATGGGCAGAGATGAGAGAGGTCCGGGCAAGCATTGAGCCGAGCTTGGTTGGGCAACAGGACCAAAGCTCCTGAACACACCCAGGCATGCTCACCACCTGGCTATCTATCGTGGTGAGGTCCCCGGGGAGGGAGGGACCACCCTCCTGGCACCGAGAAGGAACCCTAACGGACTCTCAGTGGCGGTTCAATCCAAGACTAGGCGGGACGGTTGAGGCCGTTTCGTGTGGTCGTTTGTGCTAGACATGACTGGGGATTCCCGCGTCTAGTTCACGTGCAATAAGACATTTGGTCGACCTCGAACGGCCGGTGTGTTCCCACATCGGCCATGTATCAGCAGAGTCGCCAGTTAACGTCCAGCCAGCTCTCCCAATTGCGGGCTGGGGAACGGCATGACACTGAAACATATGGTATGGCAGAGGTAGGAAAGCGGCAGCAGCCAATGGCAAAGCTGGACAAGTTGTTTCCGCATCTGCTTTTTGTCTCCCCATTGGCCAGCCAGGGTAGGTCTCAGAAAACGGGTGTGTGGGTGAGGACGTACCAAGCACGTACGTATGTGTGTGTGCGTGCGTTTATGTGTGTGCAGCTGTGCATGACTGTGAAGGCACTGAGCCAGAGTGGGGGAGAGTTGATTTGGGCCAACGGGGGTGTGAAGAGGTGTGCCAAAGCAGCCGGTGATCTGTGCAAGGGGCCTCATCGGTGCAGCGAGCAGGGTCATCGACCCAGTACCAGGGGCGCTTGGGCGCTATTTGCTGCTGCTTGCATCCGTCTGCTAGGCACAGTCCCGATGTACCTTGCCTCGCCAGCCAGTTGAGCGCAGGAGAATTGCAAAGACAGAGAGCTTGGAGCTAGGAGGAGCACTACATAAGGTAGGGCCTGTGCGGGCTTGCTCCGAGACAAGGGATCCCTGCACGGTGCCGACACCCTCTCCAGGCACCATCCCACTGGACCGACGACGACGGGGTTGGCCGTCCCTCACATAATTCGCCCAGCGATCAGATATTATATCACGGGCCTTTTAATCCAGCGTCCGAGGAGCCTGTCGAGCTGGTCGCGGGCTGCGCACTCCCAGAATACGGCCGGTGGCTGATGGATCATCGGCGGTGGCGGCTTCGTGCAGACGAACGGGATGGATTGATCCATGGCTCGGTCCAGGCTGGTGGGCTCAATGCTCTGAGATGAGGCAAGTCCGGATAGATGCAGGAAATTGCGCCTGGCGGTCCCGACCGTCCCTCCGTCGGGATGCAACGACTGCGTCATATACCACCACCACCACCACCTGGGCAGCGCGCTGGATGTCCTCGGGATTGATAGGAGGTCTTAGGTCTTGGGTCCGGCAATTGCTGTATGCAGCAACGCGAGGCTCGACCGTTTTCTCCCCGTGTGTCAGCGACGCTCGGGTAGACGAGGCAGTAGAGGGATTACGTGCCCTAGCGGCCACTAAACCAGTTGCCATTGTCGTTAATCCAGACCCTCCCTGATCCAGAGAGAATAAACGGCGCGTTTATTTGCTGGACTAGCAGTGATATGCTAAACCGTAAACCTCCTGGGTCGTCTTCGGCAGGGCAAGCTCGCCGCTGTCAGCCGGCAAGGGAGACGCTAGAGGGTTTGCAAAGATGCCGTTGCTTGAATTGAACTCCAGCAGTTGAGGCGAACTAGAACCAGAACCGGAACCAAGGGAGGAAACCAACGCAAGGTGCTTCTCCGCATTGCAAACATGTGCGCTGGGCGAGAACCCGTCGTCCCCTCACCCCGTCTCGTGACGAGCAATGAGGAGCCTTGGATTGACCTTAGTGGGCTCCACAATTGACGTTGTAATTTGTTGACTCCAGCTGGCTGGCTCAGTGGCCAAGGCATGCTTAGAATTAGTGCCAGCCCGCCAGCCGATTAGGGCCCGTCTCTCTGGCGGATCTGGACGATCATTCAGCACATGCCACTTGCCTGCTAAGCTGTTACGGATAGGACTATGACGAGATACGTCTAGGAGCAACCATTAGGACGCACCTGATCAGCCCAGGTGAAAGAGAATTTCACACGTGGATATCAATTAAAAGCCGCAGAACTGGTAATCCCCCTTGAGGGATAGATGGCGACAGCGAGGCAGAGCGAAGGGGAGAGAGCGTTGCCAGCTGGCCTGGGTAGCCCACTCTCATCTCATCTCCATCTCCACGCACAGCCGGGGAGGAGTGCATGTTACACATGTTTGACTTACGGGCGCTGTGGCGAAGAACCTGGCCCAGCTGTCTCATTCTGAGACTTGCCGCCCGTCCAATAGCTGCACAAGTACGTGTGCTGTGCAGAACACCAGCTTGTTAGCATGAATACATCGTCATCTAATTTTGCTCAGTTCTCCTCGGCGTGTTCAGCTCGTGGCCGTCCCGGTACGGTGCAGCCGATGTCTGTCACGGAGAATATAATAGTGGGTGGTGGCTGGCCACAGGAACTGCTGACGGAGATCTGTGGCCACTGCATTGACGCAAGGGCTCCCAGCCGTACGCAGCAGGAGTGGCCGTACATGATGCCGGCATGCAGCATAAACACTATATCTGTATTACACACGCAGCCTTGAGCCTCCCTACATGCTGGATCGGCAAGGCACCTCAGCGCGTGCCGTCGACCAGTCTAGCTCTGGCTCTGGCATTGGCCCTATTGCCTCTGGCCCTGGTTTGCTGAAGTGGTTGGATGTAAGCAGCAACCTTAGCGAGGCGAGAGCCCCAGAAAATCTCCGAAAAGATGCGGCTAGGCCTGATGCAAACTAGCCTTCTTCTCTCACGCCAAAGGGCCCCACCGCCCTCCCTGGGGACGGACGGCCGCTTCCTTCTGCTACCAGCAAACGGCGTCTACTGCGTCTGAGCCAAGGCTAGCCCCTTTGGGGATCCCTCAGTGAGGAAAGCTGGAAATGGTGGCGGCAGTTTTCCGCTTAGCGACCTGAGAGGCGGCGGTGGTGCCCACCAACGGGCCACGGACCCTGTGGCTGCTGCTTCAACCACCGTAGATCTACACAGCTAGCCGGGTTGCCAATCTACACATTACGACCTACCAGCTGTTCCGCCCTGGAGATCTCATCTGCCTATCTAGGTATGTAGCAATCCGGAGCACAGTCCCTCCCAGACGGGCGGCCACCAGCTCCAGCTACCCGTTCCCCATTCCGCGGAGGCGCTCGCTTGTGCCTGCACGCATTGCTCAACGCGCAGGCCGGTCAGAAAAATTTTCGGCATCACGGAAATAGCAGGCGGCTAGGCAAGGCAATAAAATCTCAATCCTACATCTACCGCATCATTGCTACGGGAATACCAGCGCCAAGGCAAGGCCCTGTTTCCACAGGAGGCGTGTCGTCTCCCCAACTCCAACTCCAGGTGCATGGAGCCCCACTCAGGCGTGTCGATAGACAAACCTGCCACATCCGGGATGATGGTATCTTGGATCGCCCAATCACAGCCCAACGACCAATGCACCGCGGTGGATTTCAAGTGTGTAACGCGCATGAGAGCATGTTTCCTGACGTGTGGGCTGCCGCTGGGTCTGCGACCTGCGTGAGGTGCGTTGAATGTCATCAGTCGCATATCGAATCTAATCTTGACAACGGGGGCCTGGTGCCTTTTTTTTTCCACTATTTGGTCCAATATGCAATCCGACCCATTCCCAAACTCTTCAGTTCCCGTGATGATGCAGTGCTTCGCTGCAACTCCTCTCTGCTCGGCTGATCGCCGCAGCCTGAGAACAGGGGATGCATGCCCACCAAACCACCGATGACTCTGCATCACAGCCTTCTAATGGCTGACACGACGGTCGTTGTAATGCAATACTGGAGAGTGCATTCCGAGATGGGCTGATTTCGAGCTGATGAGCATCGCCTCCGTGAAATTATATTGTGAACAGCGCATCCGCATCGCATCGCATCGCATCAATCCATCGAGCCCGCATCTCGTTTGATTCTCGGGCTGAGTTATCCCCAGCATACACGCAGAGTCGCACGCCGGACCCCCATACTGCTTAAAAAAGCAGTTGTACGTGCACG